AAAAAGCAGTAAAATAAAAAGCATTTTGCTCATTTAACAAGCAACTGTGTGACAGTGCTAAATACCAAGTGTGAGATGAGGATACATCTAGGGCCTTGAGGCTTCAGTGTTCAGAACTAGGGATGCAGGGGACCTGGGAGACTAGAGAAGTGGAAGGAGGCGGGGAGGGAAGGGGCTGACACGGGCTGGGAGTGGAGCCAGTGTCAGGGACCACAGCCCTCGGCCAGGCTCAGGGCCAGGTGTGCTTCCGAGTTCCTGGTCTTTGTTACACCCTCAGATGACAATATCTTCTTAGTCTCAGAGGAGTTAGCAGATAAATGTTTTAGAACATTTTAAAATTATTTTTTTAATTTATAAGGGTTTATTTGAGAATCAGTCTTCTGCTGGTTCACTCCCCAGATATTCTACAACTGCTGGGGCTGGGTTAACCACGTGCGTGGCAGGGGTCCAAGTACTTGGACCATCTTCTGCTGTTTCCCAGGCATATTAACAAGTAGCTGGATGGGAAGCAGCACCATCAGGACTTGATCTGAGGCTCCAACATGGGATGCTGGCTTTGCAGGTGGCCATTATTTTATACTTACTGAAAGCACTGTTTCAGGCTTACTTAGATTTAGCTTTTAATCATACTCATTTTTGTACATACATTAAAAAAATGTAAGTGAAAGGATTAAAATATTCCTAAAACATCTTCCTTTTCAGGGTCTTGTTTCAGTCATTGTTGTCTGTGTTTTGTCCTGTAATATTGTTGCTCTGTGCATTTCTTTAAAAGATACTTTGATGTTGTCTCATTTTTTCCCCAAACCACAATGAGGTTGATGCAAATCCTTCTTTTTCTTTTTTTTTCCTTGATTTTTTAAAAAAGATTTATTTATTTGAAAGTCAGAATTACAGAGGGAGAGGGGGAGACAGAGTGAGAGAGATCTTACATTTGCTGGTTCTCTCCCAAGATGGCTACAGCAGCCAGGTCTGTGCCAGTCTGAAACCAGGAGCCACGAGCTTCTTCTGGGTCTCCCATGTGTGTGGCAGGGGCCCAAACACTTGGGCCATCTTCTGCTGTTTTTCTCAAGCCATTATCAGGGAGCAAACTTTTCAGTGCTGGTGCTTAGCTTCTCGGCTGCTGGAGTCCCGAGCCATGGGAGCCGTGGGCGCTCACGCCCTCCATGTAGGTCCACTGTGTCCCTCTAATTTCAGTAGAGTTTCCTCTGCCATTTTTTCCCTAACTCTTCCCTGAGACTACACTCTCTCCACTGTTTTTTTTTTTTTTTTTTTGACAGGCAGAGTGGACAGTGAGAGAGAGAGACAGAGAGAAAGGTCTTCCTTTGCCGTTGGTTCACCCTCCAATGGCCGCCGCGGTCGGCGCGCTGCGGCCGGCGCACCGCGCTGATCCGATGGCAGGAGCCAGGAGCCAGGTGCTTTTCCTGGTCTCCCATGGGGTGCAGGGCCCAAGCACCTGGGCCATCCTCCACTGCACTCCCTGGCCACAGCAGAGGGCTGGCCTGGAAGAGGGGCAACCGGGACAGAATCCGGCGCCCCGACCGGGACTAGAACCCGGTGTGCCGGCGCCGCTAGGCGGAGGATTAGCCTAGTGAGCCGCGGCGCCGGCCTCCACTGTTCTTAAACTCTCTTCTCCTGGGCTAGAGCAGTAAACGCCCTCCCTACTCCGCCATCTTGGAACACTTCTGTTAGTAAACAGATGCTTTGCAGACAACAGCCAAAGCTCAAATTGCTCTCTCAAATGGCGCTGAGTGACTAGTTGACTGACAGGGCAAAGTGTTGCAGTCATGTCTTCAGGGATAATAGCCGTGTGCACATATGTGCATGTGGTCATGACTGTGCCCATTGTTGCGTGGTCCACCGCAGTTTGAATATGTATCCCAACTTCAGAGGACTGACAAATGTGAGGGGGAAATGCAGCTCCGAATTCATAGATCAGATAGAATTGAAACATTGGCTTTATTTTTCTGGGGAGAAAAAGATTTTTTAAGATTGATCAATTGATTGATTGATTGATTTTGACAGGCAGAGTTAGACAGTGAGAGAGACAGAAAGGTCTTCCTTTTCCAAGTTGGTTCACCTCTCCCCAAATGGCTGCTACAGTCGGCACACTGCGCCGATCCAAAACCAGGAGCCAGGTGCTTCCTCCTGGTCTCCCATGCAGGTGCAGGGCCCAAGCACTTGGGCCATCCTCCACTGCACTCCGGGGCTACAGCAGAGAGCTGGACTGGAAGAGGAGCAACCGGACTAGAACCCGGGGTGCCAGAGCTGCAGGCGGAAGATTAGCCAAGTGAGCCGTGGCGCCGGCCTTTTAAGATTTATTTATTTGAAAGGCAGAGTAACAGGAGAGTGGAGGGGAAGGAGAATGATTGTCCATCCACTAGTTCATCCTTCAAATGACTCAACATCCAGATCTGGGCCAGCAGAAGCTAGGAGCCAGAAATCCCGTGCTGGTCTCCCATGTGGGTGGCACTCTGCCTTCCCGCGTGCTTAAGTAGCGAGCTGGATACGAAGTGGAGCAGCTTAATTTGTTGCACTACAATGCTGGCCCCTGGAAAATTTCTGAGCTTCACCAAGAAAGCTTATATAGGAATGTAGTCTCACATTAAATTGTCTTGTGCAAATTACATTTGAAAGGCAAAGAGACAGAAATCTTCCATCTGCTGATTCACTTTCCAGATACCCATAACAGTCGAGACTGATCCAGGTCAAAGCCAGGAGCCTGGAATTCAGTTCAGGTCTCCCGTGTGGGTAGTAAGGACTGAACAACTTGAATTCCTAGAATTTTATTGACACATAAAAATGTCTGAAATTGTTTGAAACTGGCTAATTTAATGGTAATAACCTAGTGATCTCCCATCTTGGAATGCCCGATGTTTCTAGTAAAATGAAATTTGTTTTTATAATTTTACCATTCTTACTGGGGGCCTACCCCTGATATGAAATACCTGATGCACAAAAGCTCAAAGACCGGGGGCCAGTGCTGGCGTATCAGGCTAGGCGTCAGCCTGCAGTGCTGCCATCCCTTATGGGAGCACTGCCTTGCATCCTGACTGCTCTGCTTCTCATCCAACTCTGCCACACCCACGTGGGAGACCTGTGTGGGTTTCTAGGCTCTAGGCTTTGGCTTGAGCCAACCCCAGCCATTGCAGACGTTTGGGGACTGAACCAGCAGATGAAGAACCTCTCCCTGTCTGTCTCTCTCTGTCATTCTGCCTGTCAAATAAATAGATGAATATTTTTTTGAAAGTTCAAGGGACAGGGAGCCTGGGCTTAAAAATTCAGTTGTCGTTTCTCCCCTTCCCCCTCTCAGTGGGTTGATAGCATAAAAGCATTACATAGAAAATGGAAATATAGAAAGCAGAAAATAGGGTCTGGTGCTGTGGTATAGCAGATAAAGCTGCCACCTGCAGTGCTGGCATCCCATACGGACACCGGTTCAAGTCCCGGCTGCTCCACTTCCCATCCAGCTCTGCTATGGCCTGTGAAGGCAGTGGAAGCTGGCCCAAGTGCTTGGGCCCCTGCCACCCCTGGGAGGCTCAGAAGCTCCTGGCTCCTAGCTCCTGGCTTTTGCCTGGCCCAGCCCCAGCTGTTGTGGCCATCTGGGAAGTCCACCAGCTTATGGAATATCTTTTTCTCTCTTTCTCCTTCTCTGCCTGTAACTGTGCATTTCAAATGAATTGATAAGTCTTTAAAAAAGAAAAGGAGTAACAAAAAGGAAATCAGAAAATATGATCCTATAGAGGTGCTATGGCATTACCAGCTGCTTTTGTTATGAGAAATAGCAACAATTTTTATTTTTGAAATTTTTCTTTTTTATCAGAAACCAGGATAAAGCTGTTACCTCTAGAGAGATCATGAGTCTACAAGTTTGTGCTATTTTTCTTTGATTCCTTTAGTTATTGACCTGTTTGGAGGATTCTTTAACTGCAGAGGTTGTACTGCATAACCAATAAAATTTACTTTTCCAGATGGTTTGGGTGGAGTGTGGGACTCGTTATATTTTGATCCTCATAATGAGACATTTATGAGGAAGTGTGCCGTGAATGAGAGTCAGTCCACTTAGCAGAAAATCCAGGACTCAGACATCGCCAGAACTCCAGCCTCATGTTCTCCCCACCCTTTATTTTTCCTAAGATGAGACCTTGAGCCCCAAAAGCGAGGTAGTTTCCCACCCACCTTGGCACACGTCCACAGAGATGTCCTCTTCCCCTGTGTATTCTTCTGAGTGAGCGAACCCATGATTGGTGGTTGTAGGATCCACTGCCTGGTCCTTTCTGCTTACAAGTGTGCATGCATGTACAATTTGGAGCTCATTGCCAATGCCAAAGAATGAACCTGATACATGAGCCTACAGAGGTGCCACAGCTTTGAGGTTTACCTCTGTCCCCAGGGAGTACCAGAGGGACCAGGGCTAGACCCAAGGAGCTCCCTTTCACCTCAGGGCTTATTGGTAGTGGCACCATTTAAACACTGAACTACAACATGCACCTCTGATTTTCCTCTGGTTCTTTCTGGTCTAGGCTCTCATGCATTTGAATCTCCCATCTGTTTGGTATTCTGGCTTTGCAGGATGCTAACAACAATTTCAAATAGAGTACTTAAAGTTTTAGAGACATATTTGTAAGTCCTAAAGTATCTTGGAAATTACTTTGGTAATTAATTACCATAGCTAGGTGTTTATCAGAGGGCCTGGGAATTAGAGTAATGCATGTCGTTCCTGTTAGAGTGGGCACAGGTGATGGGGACTGCACTCCATAAAACCTCCTCCACATGTTCCTTTTTAGTGTCTTTACCTTAATTTCATCATCTTTTCTTTTAATTCTGTTTGGTGTGATGCCTTCAGGGCCAGTGGGTATTTTCATCTGCTAGTTGGAGAAGTGTTTGTTCCTGGGGCTCTGCAGTGGCCAGGGAGGTTAGCCCCACCCACTCTCGTGTTGCTTGGCACCAATCCTCCCTGGTTGTTGGGCATCTTGTTTACTTCTGTCCTTAATTCCCTGCAGGTGCGTAAGTACAAGAGCATGATACTGGAAGACCTGGAGTCTGCTCTGGCAGAACACGCCCCCGCGCCACAGGAGGTTAATTCAGAACTGCCGCCTCTCACCATCGACGGAATTCCAGTCTCTGTGGACAAAATGACCCAGGTGAGGGGCGGGAGGTGAGGAGGAGACACACAGAGGAGAGGCGCACGTGTGGGCGGACTCATCGGTCATCCCAGTTTTGTCCTCAGTGATACTAGGAGGGTGAGGTGCAGCTGGGGTCTGACAGAGAAGCAGGAGGAGCTGTGGAGAAGACACTGGTGCCAGGGGAGAGCACTGAACCACAGGCCTGGATGGTTCCTCCCCCTGCTGCCCGCCTGTCTCACTTAGTCTTTGTGTTAGATCAGGACACTTTCACCTGGCGGTTGGTTTGAGCAGGAGCTTGTTGGGAGTGTGATGACTCTGTCAAGTGAACCTTGAGTCTCTTTGGGCTGAGTACTGCCACATAATGGCCACGTAAACCTTCCCTCCCCAGGTACTGAAAAGGTAAACTCGGAAGGGCACCCTCCTGAGCCTTGACTCCCTCGCTCTTCCTTTGAGAAGGGAGTCAGATGTACTTAGCTCCGTAAATAGCACCCCTCAGTAATGTTGCTGGGATTATCTTTCTTACATTCTTTTTTTAAACTTAAAAATTATAGCTTGATGGGGCTGGCTCTGTGGCACAATGAGTTAAGCCACCACCTGCAGTGCTGGGATCCCATATTTATAGTATTGTATCAGAGTGCCAGTTCCAGTCCCAGCTACTTCGCTTCCAATCCGGCTCCTGCTGATGCGCCTGGGAAGCAGTGGAGGATGGCCCAAGTGCTTGGGGCCCTGCACCCATGGGAGACCAGGCTGGAGTTCTGCTTGTCTGCAGCCTAGCCCTGCCCTGTTACGGCCGCTGGGGAGTGAACCAGCAGATGGAAGATCTCTGTTTTCGTCTCTCCCTCTCTGTAACTCTATCTTCCAAATAAAACAAAAGCAAAAAACTTCATCAAAGACATTTTGATAACATACTTTCCCACCTTATTCTTTATTAATGTGCTTCTGTCTTGTTAAACTCAGTTGGCAGCTTGCTCTCCTTACCCTTCCACCAGCAGTGTTGGTCTCTGTCACTCCTGCTCTCCAGACTGTCCCCCTGCCTCACCGTGTGCACCCTGTGGGCCCTGTGGCTCCTCTTCCTCTTCTTACCTGGTCCGTGTCAGCAGGTGCTAGGACTTAGCCCTCTGCTGTTGCTCTGTCTAGTTTTTGTTCAAGTGATCTCCTAGCTACATGCTGTGTACCCCAGCTTGTAACCACCGTCAGGGGTCCAGTACCTAGAACAGATGTGCACACGCAGAACAGAACTTGGTTGTCCCCATTCCCCACTCCCACTCTGGTGTTCCCCGTGGCAGGAAGTGGTTGAACAAGTGGCAGCATGGGAGTAATACTTGCTTCTCTGTTTTTGCTACGCTTCCCCGACACCCACACTATCGGATCCATCAGCAGGTCGTGTCAGCTCACCTCTGAGCTCTACCCTCTCCTGACTTTCTTCCCAATCCCCGTCACCACTCTCGCCTAAGCATCTCTCAGATGACCAGTCCAGTGCCTCCAGAGAGCCATCAGAGATTTTTGCAACCTTGAGTCAGGTCAGGTCACTTCGCTGTTGCGATCCTTTCCTAGCTTCCACCATTCCTAGAACACGTTCAAGCTCTGCACGGCCGTGGAGGTCCTTTGTGCTTTGACTTCTCGCAGCTCACTTCTGTTGCTCCCCAAAGTCACTGTGCTGCAGCCACTCTGTCCCTCTTTCCATCCAGGATCCCAAGACGCGCCGCAGCCCCCAGGCTTCCTTTGCGTTCACTGTTTCCTTTGCCTGAAACATTGTTCTCCCAGATCAAAGTCTGACTCAGATATCCCCTTATAAGACAAGCCTGCCTTCCTTCCTTCCTTCCTTCCTTCCTTCCTTCCTTCCTTCCTTCCTTCTTGACAGGCAGAGATAGAAAGGTCTTCCTTCTGTTGGTTCACTCCCCAAATGGCCACTGTGGCTGGTGCACCGTGCCGATCTGAAGCCAGGAGCCAGGTGCTTCCTCCTGGTCTCCCATGTGGGTGCAGGGCCCAAGCACTCAGGCCACAACAGAGAACTGGCCTGGAAGAGGAGCAACCGGGACTAGAACCCAGGGTGCTGGCGCCACAGGCGGAGGATTAGCCTAGTGAGCCACAGCGTCGGCCAAGCCTTTCTTAATTATCCCATCTAATGAGGGCTTCCCACCCTCCTAGTCACTGACTAATACACTCCCAGTGTTAGTGTCTCTGTGGTACCTGTCGCTACCTGAAATGATCATGTTTAGTTAGTCCTTGCTTGTGCTATCTCTTTAATTAGAATTGAGAGCAGTGACTTAGTTTCTTTTCTTTTCTACTCTTCAGTACATTTGCCCTTGTCATCCATGGAACAGTTTGCATTCAGTAAATCCGTGCCCTTCTGAGTGGGCAAACACAGTGTAACACTAACGTAAAGGACCTACTCTGTCCTCAGATACAAACTGTGTCTGGACTGCCTGAGGCTCTGGTTTAGCTGCTGTGCTGGGCAGACTCGTCTTCTGTGATGGGCACTTTTCCTCTCTGTCACCTTTGGTGGATAACACTTGATTTTATTAAGCCATCATGGATACATTTTGGAGATGAAGCATTTGAAACTTTTGTTCTTTGACTTCCACCCACTGATTCACCCTCTAAGTGGCCATTAAGGCTAGGGGCTGGGCCAAGCCGAAGTGTGGAGCCAGGAACTCCAGCTGGGTCTCCCACATAGATGTCGGGCCCAAGTACTTGGGCCATCTTCCACCCCCACCCCCACCCCCCCCAGGCCTTAGCCGGGAGCTGTCCCAGAAGCAGAACAACCAGGACTGGAACCAGAGCTCCAGAAAGGGATGCTGGCATTCAGGTGGCAGTTTAACCCACTGTGCTCAGTGCCATCCCCTAAGCTTGAATTTTTTAAAATACAAATTTGATAATGTTTCTGCTTTTTTTGTTCAAAGATTGCTTTTCTTTATGATAGGGTAAAGATTTCAATAGTTTTTTAAAAAAACTTCCTTGTTTTCATCTTTTATAGCTACCATGTGTTAGAAGGCAAACCACTGAGTTCTTTAGAGGAGTATCTAATTTAATACACTTTCCATAGAGAGAGAAAGAGCATTTTCTATTTTCTATTAAAGGAAGCATGCTTTCCTATGATCTGTAAGCATATAGAATAAAATAAGTTTAACTGGACAGCAGTTCTAGAATTTGGACCATATATATGTAATTCCTGACTTCCTTGAAGCAATAAAATTAAAAAAAATTGTCTGGGTTGTTACGCCCACGACTCTATTCGTTATCTCATCTCAATACTTGGGAGATGACTGATGTTTATTATGAGGATCTTTTTTTTAAGATTTTATTTATTTACTTGAGAGGTAGAGTTACAGGCAGACAGAGAGAAAGGTCTTCCATCTGCTGGTTCACTCCTCAAATGGCTGCAATGGCCGGAGCTGAGCCAATCCAAAGCCAGGAGCCAGGAGCTTCTTCCGGGTCTCCCACATGTGTACCCCAAGAGCCTGGGCCATCTTCTGCTGCTTTCTCAGGCCATAGCAGGGAGCTGAATTAGAAGAGGAGTAGCTGGGATACAAACCAGTTCCCATATGGGATGCTGGCGTCTCAGGCAGAGGCTTAGCCTACTGTTTCACAGCACCAGCCCCTCATTAATTCTTTGCTTTCAGAAAGCTAATATGGCTTATTGGACAGGAAGCTTAGAGTCAGAAGATATAGTCACCAGCCCAAACTCTGCTAATATTCTTCTGAAAGTGAAAATAAATAAACCTGCCTCCTACCCTCCAGAGCCAGAGGAAGGAAAGAATTAGATACTATATTGGAAAGTGCTTTGATAATTAAGGCATCACACAGAAGTATTGTTACTAATTATTAATACTAATTATACATGTTACTTGTATGAACTTTTTTTTGTGTGTGTTAACTTTCAAATGATCTGAACACACAGTCTCTCAGCCATACTTGAGAGAAAGTTAATGAACCATGAATTTCTATTTTTCTCAGCACTAAAGTAAGACAATAAAAATGACCATATATTTTGTCAGTTGAAAAATAGAGGTGGAGGGCCGGCGCTGCGGCTCAACAGGCTAATCCTCCGCCTAGTGGCGCCGGCACACCAGGTTCTAGTCCCGGTCGGGGCGCCAGATTCTGTCCCAGTTGCCCCTCTTTCAGGCCAGCTCTCTGCTGTGGCCAGGGAGTGCGGTGGAGGATGGCCCAAGTACTTGGGCCCTGCACCCCATGAGAGACTAGGAAAAGCACCTGGCTCCTGGCTCCTGCCATCGGATCAGCACGGTGCGCCGGCCGCGGCGGCCATTGGAGGGTGAACCAACAGCAAAGGAAGACCTTTCTCTCTGTCTCTCTCACTGTCCACTCTGCCTGTCAAAAAAAAAAAAGAGGTGTAAATAGAAAAAGCAATTGATGAAGTAACCTAGTGATAAGCGGGAATAGAACTTAGCCTGAGTCCATATTGCGAGAGCTGCCTCCACACACACATACTTTTTTTATAAAACTGTCATCATCACACAGGTTGAGTATTTCAGCTAGTCCACACTGAACATTTAGTGTTTTAAAGAATTTCTTGGCTTGCTTAAAAGACTCTCAAAATTGTCTCCTTTACAGGTAGAAATTATATGTCATAGAATATCTGGATTTCTGTATGAATGAATTGCTCTCCGTTTTTTTAGGAAGCAGCTCTGGGGTGTTTGTTTCGTGTGTGTGTGTGTGTGTGTGTGTGGTCTTCCTTTGCCGTTGGTTCACCCTCCAATGGCCGCCACGGCTGGCGCGCTGCGGCTGGCGCACCGCGCTGATCCGATGGCAGGAGCCAGGTGCTTTTCCTGGTCTCCCATGGGGTGCAGGGCCCAAGCACTTGGGCCATCCTCCACTGCACTCCCTGGCCACAGCAAAGAGCTGGCCTGGAAGAGGGGCAACCGGGACAGAATCCGGCGCCCCGACCGGGACTAGAACCTGGTGTGCCGGCGCTGCAAGGCGGAGGATTAGCCTAGTGAGCCGCGGCGCCGGCTGAAAGTAAATTCTTTATTTGTAAATTCTATATTTTACCTTAAAAG